ACCGGGCTATGCTACTAGCCGTTCCCAAGCATCAGTTTCCTTGGTCATAAAGTGCAGGTGCGGAAAACGATGATCTCTAGCGTCTAAACTTAGTGGGGACAGAATTTTTGTCATCTCCCACCTCTAGGCCGGTGCCAGGGACTCAGTAGGCGCTCACTAACGTTTGAATGAACACAGGGCTCCGCAGGTCGCTGAAGTTCCCCAAGAGAACAGCAGGTGTCGCACCAGCCCCATAGCCCCCAGCCCGGAGCCTGCGGGGCTGGGCTAAATCAGCCTCCAGCAGGAACCCGCTTGCTCGAATTCGGAGCTTTCAGGGAAGGGGCTTCTGAATGCCGAATTATGAGTCTCTCTTAAAAAGCTGACTTCTCACTTGGAAAAGGGGGCTTCTGGCTCTTTAACAATAGCGGCAAGGGGGCCGGGTCCTCGGGCGCCGTTTCCCAGAATGCGCGGCGCTATGCAAATGAAGACGGTTTCGAAATCGGCAGTGATTCCTGCCATGCGGGCAAAGGAAACGTTTTGAAAGGATATCTACCGTAATAAACGACTGGGAGAAATTTATATGTATTGAAGGCAGCAATCTCATGCCTCCCAAGCCATACGACCATGATGTTAAAAAGCTAGGAATTCGTGCTTTATATATATCTGTGAGGGCAAGCGGTTTCTTTGCCCGGATGATCCTCAGTGGTCTGGGGTGCAGGCTTCAAACCTGTAGCTGTCTAGCGACAGAGTGGTTCAATTCCACCTTTCGGGCGGTGTGGTTTCGTTTTCTTTTCCTCCCTTCAAACAGGACTTTAGAGAGCGGGTTGTCCCGGAGGCTGCGCCTCGGGCCGGCACCTGGAGAAGTCGCTGGAGTCCCATGCATCGTAATTTATTATCCTCCACTATGCGGGTCTCTTCCTGTGATTATAGTTTTTCCAAGAAAAGCTCATCTCCATGCTCAGTTCTGGGATATTTACAGTTTGAGAATTACCGTCGGTTTCTCCCCTTCCCTCGCGCGCTCACTCATCCGTTGTCATTTGCTCACTCACGTATTTAATCACGCATGCACTTATTAATCAGTCAAGCGTTTATTCATTCATTTACTCATTCAACTAATATTTGCTGAGTGGTTGCTCGGTGCCTGGCCCTGCACTGGGCTGTGCTGGGGGGCACAGGGGTGACGACAACCCTGGCCTGGCCTCGCGGTGTTGCCCGTCCAGTGGAAGAGACAAACTTTAAACAATCGTTAATTACACATATAGTCAACGACTACAAAGATGTACCATTGGGAAGGCAAGTACAGACCATCTGGAGGCCATCTAATAAGGAGACCTGAGTTCAGGTGCGGGGTCAGAGTAACACGTGAGCAGACACCTGAAGGAGGAGAGGCGATGAGACAGCAGAAGTCGGGGGGGGGGGGGGGGGGGGGGGGGGGGGGGTGCGGAATATTCCTGGCTGGGGATCAGGGTGGCCCGAACACTGGCGATGGGGATGGTGATATCTGCACCTTCACTCTGAGCTCAGCCTTGGCGTGCACAAGCTCAGTAATTCCTCACAACAGCCCCATCCTGCAGCTGGGGAAACTGAGGTTCAGAGAAATGAAGTTTCTTGTCCAAGGTCACCCAGCTTCCTTAAACCTCCAGTCCCAGGGTTCCCAGACCCCTGGTCCACGCTGTTTATCACTGCCCTGTGCTGTCTTTCCCAAGCTACCTGCTCATGAAGTCCTGTCTGTTCTGCCTCAGAACTGTGTTTTGAATCTTTCCCCCTCCTCTCTAACGCACAGCCCTGGCCCTGTTCCAGCCCCCTCCCTCACACCCGGGGGTGCCTGCCCTAGCCTCCTGCCTGGTCTCCTGGCCCGGGTTTGCCCCTTTCTCGCCCAGCGACCCTCAGTCTGATGGCTAGAGGAGTCTATCTAAAGCACAAATCTGGCCTGCCCTTCTTGTGCTCAAAACCTGCCATGGCTCCCCAGTGCCCTCAAGAGATGATCTAAACTCTTGGTCTGAACTTTAAGCCTGCAGAATTTGGTCCCCGCTAAGCTCTCTCTCTACGCCTTTTGCTCCAGCCACGGCGAGCCTTTCGCTTCCTCAATGTGTCAAGCCCTCTCTCCACCAACAGCTCTTTGCACTCACTATTTTGTTAGACTCAGCCTTTTTCTAGTCCCTTCTTTACCTTCTATTTATCCTCCAGGACTCAGCCGTCCCTCCTCCAGGAGGTCTTTCCTGACTCCTAGACCAAATCAGGTGCCCCCACTGCGCTGCCCCAGCCCCATGGACTCCCCCAACCCTGTCCACTTCGGATCATCCCTGACTGGGGTCTGAGGTCTGTGCCCTCCACGGGACTGTGACCCCTAGAAGGGGATAGCCTGGGGCTGTCTCAGTCCCCGCAGTGTCCCCAACACTGCCCAGTGCTGGGCTGGGCACACAGTAAATGCTTAGCAAATTTCAAAAATTAATTGATAAGTTAAGTGATTCCATCATTTCAAATTCCCCTGCTTATTCATTTACTAAGGCATCCCGATGACCTCTGGAGCATCACCTCAATTCCCAGAGTGCTTGCTGCTATGCAAATAGGAGAGGGCTTGGATCTTGCAATGGGATGGCTCGGTTGTATCTTTGGACAAAGCGGCAATATTTTTTGTTGAACCAGTCTTGAGTTGGCCCCAATATGGTCATAACCCAGAAGGAGCGGTCATGTGAAAAGCAAAAGGAAACACATCCTTAGTGTAAAGGGAGCCAAGTTTTTGTGGTTCATATAACCCCAAGGACACCCCTTTTCATCGGTTGTTTTCAATATTAGGGGATATACCTTTCTAGCCTTTTTTAGTTCTGTATCTTTTGCTTGTGGATGCTAATATTCTGACTGCTTATTTTTTCTAGGAGGAGGCACAGCCTTGTGTGTATGGGAAGTCCTCCTAACTGTCTAGCCCCCGTCCATCCTGCTGTGGGCTGATTCACCAGTAGGAGTTCCACCCTGTGTGTGTGTTTGCATAGCTTCTTCCCCCAGCAATCTCACTTCACTTACTCATACTCAAAGGAAGGCAGCTGATGAGTGTCAGGAGAAAATAGACCCTGAATCTTGGTGGATGCATTTTTAAAAGCTTTTTATTGGCGACAGTGCAGAACCACGGGGGGAGGATAGCGGCCCAATGCCAGGCAGCCCCAGCCCCCTAGGGTCAGGTGCAAAATACAAAAAGAGAATCACAAATACAGCCATTGGGTGGGGGTTGGGGCTTCCATAACTTGCCGTCGGCAGGGGCAGGCCCTGCTCCCAGTTTCACACTTGCACCCAGAATTCTCAAAAGATACAGATTGTAAAAATCTATGCTCCCCAGGCTTACTCACAAAAATTAAATCCCACGTTCCCAACGAACCCAGAGTCAGAAGACAGCTGGAGGATCAGGGACAGTCAGAAAGGAGACAGGTGGAAAAGGCCAGAGAAAAAACAGGCAGAGAAAAGACAGAAGGGGAGAGACACTCAGGAAAGAGACAGCCAGAGACACCCAGGAAGGGACGAGACCATCAGAGAAGAGACGGCTAGAGACAGTCAGATAGAGACAGCCAGAGAAAAGACAGCCGGAGACAGGCTGACTTGAAGTTTCCAGAAGCAGTGTTTCCAATCCAATGACACGGCTTCGGGGGCCAACGTGACCCAGGCCGAGGTTGCAGAAGCCTCCACACTCACGCGCACACACACACCCATATATAATATATTTATTTATACATAATAGATATAAGTGCCTTTCGCAAACCGAGAAAGGGATAAATAGCTCCGGGACGGGTCTGGGGTCTGGGATGCGGGCGGGAGGCGCAGGACGGAGCACGTGGAATGTCTTCCATGCGGCACGGAGGGCGCTGGGGCCCATCCGGTGTTAAAAAATGTCAACTGGCCTCATGATGAAATGCTCATGAGGCGAAGCACAAGGAGAGGCGGGGTGGGGGAGCCAAAACCAAGATTCGGGGCTGGGGGGAAGGAGGAGGGGAAGCTGGGGTCGTGGGAGCCCAGCCCCTTCGAGTTTGCCAGTCCAAAAATATTGGGGGTGGGGGGCGGTAGGAGGCCAAAGCCTCAGCCTTTCTAGCTTCTCCGGAAAACTGCCGAGCCCCCTGGCCATCTCCCCTTGCTCCCTTTCTAGAAAGGATGTGGGAGTGCCAGGGGGAGGGAGAAGTCGGCGTCCTAGGCCGGGGTAAGGGGACAGGCCTTAAAGAAAAAAGGCCAGGGCTTGGGGCCGGGGGTCCTGAGGAGAGAGGCCTCGCGGATGGATAACTGTCACCCACCTCTCGATTCTGTCACCCCCTGGAGTCTAACTCACCGGCGAGGGGAGGAAGGAGGCAGATCGGGGAGGGGAGACCAAGGAAAGGCTTTGGGGAGTGGGGGGCACAATCCTTCCGGAAGGGTCCTGTCCCACCGTGCTCCCCCCACCCCACCCCCGCCCCCCCAAATCCGGCCGACTCATTTCACAGTATAAGACACTCCAGCAGGACAGCATCACAGCGCCCCCTGCTGCCTGAATCAGAGAGGCCCAACAAGGAAGGCCAGGAGGGGAGGCTGGAGGCGGGAGGGAGGCTGCCAATAACACTGTCATCAGAAGGGAGGCTGGGGGCTGAATGTGGGGGCATCCTTAGGAGGCGAGAAATTCGAATCAGAGCCAGTTTGGCGGGGAGGGAGCGGCTGGAGAGTGGGGGAGGGAGGTTCACATTTCAGACTAAGTCTGGGTGGGGGGAAGGGGGTTATCAGAGGGGGGCATCGACTTCCCTCTAAAGGTGGGCTCAATTCAGAGGAGGATCTAACCACGTGGGAATGTTAAATAAGCTAAGGTCGGGGGATCAGAGAGAACCGGCCTGGTCAGGCCCGGAAGGGGGGGTGGGGGAGACATTGTGGGGCGGGGGGGGGGGGCTCTGTGGCCTTTCCTTGTTGGGCCTCTCTGGAGAGAACTCCAGCCCCCCCCCCACCCCGCCACCAGCACCCCTTTCCCTCCAGCCCAAAGGTGGGCATCACCCCCCACCCACCCATCCCCAGAAGTTGGGTTGAAGTGAGACAGCCAACAGGCAGCTGGGGGGGTCCATCCCCTCCCCACCCCCCCGCCCCCAAAGTCACCAGCTCTCTGGCCTCGCCGGGCCACAGAAACAAGAGGCGGCACAAAACACAAGGGGGTCCTCCTGTCCGATGGCAGCGGCGGCAGAGAGTCAGACAGGAGAGGCAGGGAGGCCGGGCGCCTGCTTTGTCACTTCCCCTCTCTCTCCTCCTTCTCCTCTTCCAAATCTCTCTCCTTTGTGTGTTTGTTAGTTTTGTGTCTAAAGAGTTCACAGAGCGAGAAGGGAGGGCGAGTTCAGGGGGTCGCAAGGCTGGTCGCTGCCGCTGGTGCGTTGGGCGCCGGCGAACGCGGAGACCTCCGGGCAGGTGAGGACAAACGAGGAAGTGTACGAAGGGTTAACAACGGGGAAGGGGTCGCCGAGGACTTGAACTTCACTGTGTGTAAAGAGAGAAGCTGTCAGGTTGGGGGGTGCGTCCTGGCTGGTCTGGAAGGGCAGGGGCGGTGGTGGCGGGGGCGGCAGCAGCCAGCTGAAACCATCTTCCTTAGTGGATGCTGACCCCGGCAAACCTCTCACCTCCGGCAGCGGGCCCGGCCCGGGCCCCTCTTCGTAGGGGATCTTGCAGCCCGGTTTGTGGGCCACCAGCACAAACTCCAGACGCTCCTTCTCCTTTTGGAGCTCGGCGATCTCCGACTCCAGCTCCGCCTTTTCTTCCTCCAACTGATCTGTCTCCTGAGGCCCCCGGCGGCCAGGTCGCGGAGGAGGGGGAGGAAGGAGGAAAAAAGCGTGAGCGACTAGAGAAAGGAGAAAGCATCTCCTGTAGACACGCGGCCGCGGCAGAGGCCCAGCGGATGGAGAGGAAAGAGCCCAGCGCTGGGGGCCTGGTGCGCTATGGGGCTTGAGGCAAGGGTCTTGACTTCTGGGAGCCTCAGTTTCCCCATCTGTCCAGTGGATGGTTGGGAAGGGGCCAGCCAGGGGCCCATGGAAGTCTCTGGTTGCAGAAGGCACTCAGAGGTTTGTTGAATTAACAATTTCAATTTCGGAGTTTGTTGAATGAATGAACAATTGTTATATGTTTTTAATGCCACCTACTCCCCTCTACGACCTTCCCCTCTCTGCCTCCCGGGAAAGAGAGCAGGCAGCGCAGGAAAGTACAGTAGAGGACTTCCCTGATTCCTGCAAGGGTAGCAGGCTGCCCCGCAGGCATAAAGTGGGAAATTCTCAGAGTGAGGTGGGCACAAAAAGGGAGGGGGGCCTTGGTGGTCGCCGCCAGCCCAAGGACTGAGACATCTGGGTGGCTGGGGCAGGTGGTGGGGAATTCACATAAGATAAAAGGATTTCATTTCAAGGACCTTCTAGAACATTACAGCTAGAAGGAACCTGCAGATTCGATGAAGGGTCTAAGAGATGGAGAAACTGAGGCAAAAATGGGTTATCATTTGCCCAAGACCAAAAGGGAGAAATGACTGGAGGTCCCCTCTATTGCAGGTCCCTCACCTGTCCCCTCAGAGGAAGTGAAAGCCAGGAGAGGGATGGCTGTGTGTGCCAGGGGGGTCATAAACCAGGACAGAGAGTGGCCAGGAGTTCGCCTAAGTGGGTGAGGGTCTGTGTGTCTGCACAGGGTGACCCAACTGGCCACGTCTGTACCTCGTTCCCTATGTGGAACCTCTGGTTCTCAGGCCAGGATAAGGGCACAGGTGAGGGGGGAGCAGAGGCCGGGGAGCAAGCCCCCCTTTCAGCATACCCTCACCCCACCCCAGGCCCCATGCTCACCGCCTGGAGCCGGTCAGTCAGCTCCCTCCGACGGTTCCTACACTTAGCTGCCGCCAGCTTGTTTCGTTCCCGGCGAACCCTTCGTTTCTCCTCCTCCTCCGGGGTCAGCTGAGTAGGGGAGATAGAGCCCATGAGGCTGGGAGACACGGGGTACCTCCTTCACCCTTCCCAAACCTCCTCTTCTTCCAGAACCCCCAGGAGACAGTAAAGGACCCTTAGTCCTCGCTGACTGTGGCAAGGATATAGGGATTCTGTGGCCTTGAGGCCTTCGTGGTCCCTCATCCCAATACTGAGAAAGTTCCTGCCTCTCTTGCTTCCTCCCCCCATTCCAAGGTCTGATGCCCCTTACTCACCGTCTCTTCTCGAGGTCTCCTAGGCCGGGCTCGGGCAGGGCGGGAAGGCCCAGGTCCACTGGTGGTTCCGCTGGTAGAAGGCCCACCACTGCCACCAGCTCCGCCACTGCTGTAGCCACTCATGCCCGGCGTGGAGTAACTGGTTCCTGGCATGTCGTAGGGGTCGACGGCCGGGGGCTGGGAGGCCAGTGGCTGCCCCTGGGACTGGGCCATGGAAGAGATGAGGGTGGGTTGCACGAGCCACTGGAGGTCCTGGCTGGTTGTGATCGCGGTGACCGTGGGCACGAAGGAACCGGGCATTTCCCCGAGACCGGCGCACTCCTACGGGGTGACACATACACACACAGGCGTAGACACACAAACAGAGACACCGACACACACACACCCAACACACATACACACACCGACCCCGTGAGTGAGCACAGGGCGAGCGGGTGTGGATGTGTGTGTCACAGGCAAAAAGCCACAACACCCACCCTTCCACTACACCGTGACGCAGTGGTTAATGAGAGGATTTCTGCTCAACTGGCTTCTACCTCCTCCTTCTTCCTCGGGGAAAGGTTGCACGGTTCCAGCGGGTGGTGAATCACACCCCGGGTTGGTGACTCTTAGGTGTGGGGGGGTGGGGAGGAGGCTGGACACAGCCGGGTGACAGAACCCCCGGGACGGAGTCACAGCCACACACACAGCCACAACACCCCACCCCCACCCCAGAGGCAAGGGGAGGGAGAGAGACAGGCCTTAGGCCAAGCCTTCCTCCACACTCACACACAAACACACACCCCTCTGAGCCAGGGCGTGAGGGACAGGAGGGTCCATGAGACCCCCGTGCAGGGGCGGGGGGTCTCAGTGAAAAGGGTGTCGAGGGACGGGCCTAGGAGTTGAGAGCAACGTTTCAAGTAATTGTCTCTCCCCGGAGTGAGACTGACACGTGACAGCTTAGGGTGATCGGACAAGTAGAGAAAAGTGACGAGCCAGGCTCCCTCTGACTGTGGCGGACGGGGAATGGTGCAGGTCCGGAGCCCCCAGGCCCAAGCCGCGCTCATCTCCCCCCCACCCCGGAACGGAATCCTAGAACTGCTCGCAAGGCTCAACTACTCTCCCGGGGGCGTGGTGAGGGATGGGCTGGCTCGCTGGCCAATCAGCGCCTTGGAAACCCAGAGGGGGCGGGGCTCCTGGAGACCACCTGGCTGCTTCCTCCAGGATTAGCGGTTCTAGTCCTGGCCTCGGACGCACCGGAGCGACCGGGCGTCCGGAGCAGAGGGAGTGGGAGTGTGCCCGTGTGTGCCTGGAGGAGAGGGTGACGGTCCCCAGGTCCCCCGGAGAATCCCCGGCGCACAAACAGACACGCTCGGCCCCCGAGAGCGGAGGGACCGGGTCCCCGCAAGGTCCTCGTGGACTCATTGGGTCTCAGAGGGTCCCTCCCGTCGCGACAGGGGGTCCCCTCGCTCTGCCTCTAGAAGCCCGTAAAGGAGACTCTAGCGCCGAGGAGCCCCAGATTCTGGGCACCTAGAGGGGGAAGGGAACTGCCCCCCACAAATAGGAAGGGAAAGCTGATTGGCTAAAGCTCTCGCCGCGGCGGCCAATCGGAACGCCGGGCTGCCCCCTCCCTTAGCAACGTGGCCCGGCGTTCCAAAATAGAACGCTCCCGGGACGTCAGGGGCGGGGCGGACGAAGGGGGCGCCGCGCGCCGTGCGTGCCCCGCGTCAGACGGAGGATTCCAGCGCGTCAGCCGTTACGCACGGGTCCCCCGTTACGTCTCCGCGCAGGAGGCGGAGGCAGCTCTGCCGAGGGTTCGAGGCCCGCTCTCCCGCTGGAGCGAGAGCGACCTGGCGCCCGAATAGGCGCTGGGGTGGAGGAGGAAAGGGGAGGAGGCTCCAGGAAGCTTCCCCGGAATTTTTCCCATCTGCCTAACCGGGCTAGCTTCAGGTTGGGGACCTGCGCCCCGAATCTGGCTAAAAGTTCCCCACCCGGCTACCGAATACACGTTGCACCGAGCGGCGCATCCTCCCCACCCCCAAAGCTGACCCCTCTGCCGTGCCTCCCTGCGCTCCACGCACGCAACCCATTGCAACCGCGTCCCGACTCTGCAGTTTGCAAAGTGCGCCGTGAGCCTCTGCCCTCTCAGCTCCTGGATTTGGACACGTCTTTCTTTGGCATGGGAGAAGTCCTCACTCCACCCTTGACTTAAAAAATTAAAACCCACAAAGCAGCACTCAACCCTCAAGAACTTACCTGGGAGGCGGCGGCGGTGGGTGGACTGCCGAAGGAGTCCACCGAAGACAGATACTGAGACTCGGCGGAGGGTGAGGAGCTGCACCGGGAGCCGGAGTCGTAGTCTCCGGGGAAAGCTTGAAACATTTCCCTGGGCACAGGGGGGCCCCTGTGACCACGCTGAGGCCGTCGGGAAGCCAAGGCTATGGCCGGGTGGAAGAAGAAAGGTGCGAGTCCGGGGTGACCCAAGCGCGTCCCCAACGTGCGCTGTCCGGGGAAACTCGGGATGAGGGCAGCGTCCCGCTCCAACAATGGCAAAGTTTCTGTGCAATTCCTCTGCGGTGGCCAGGCCCCCACAAGATGCCGCTGTGCCTCCCGAAAGTCCAGGCTCCGTAGATCCCAGGGGTGTCCGGGGGATCGCTCCCCCAGAGGCGGAAAGCGCTGTCCTGCTGTGCAGAATCTGCTTCGGGTGCGGTCTCCTCCACGCGTCCGGCGGGTCCCACGGGGGGAGGGGAGTAATAAAGAAGACGAAAAAAGTTAAGTCGGTCCTCCAAAATAAAATGTAGAATTATCTAGAAGAATCCTTCCAAAAACTTTCTCTCCGGAAAAAAAAAATAATAAACCGAACTTCACAGCCCACCCCCCCTAGAAGAAGAACCACAACAATCAAGTCTCCGAGTCCCAGCTCCGCGTGTCCTTCCCGTCGCGGTAGCTCTCAGTCTTATGAATGAAGCCCAGAGCCGCCAGCCTGTATTTATACGCCCGGGACCCGCCCCCTGTTACGTCACCCATCCCGCGCTGGACAAACTTCCCCAAATCTCCCGTCCCGCCGAACCAAACCCCGCGCCGTCCGGCAAGAGGGCTTCCCTAGCCTCCCTCTGGTCACCCGCATCACCCTCGCGCCCCCGGGGGTCTCGGGGGCTGCGTTCTGGACCACTCGGCGGGAGGGGATCCCGGCCCCGCCTCCCCGGAGTTCCTGTGACGCAATTAGCCATATAAGGACCTCGGCCGGCGCGGCGGAGTGTTTGTTTGGTATCCTAGCAATTACGTCAGAGGGAATCCCTCGCTCGCTCGCGCGCTCACCCCTCGCGCCTGCGGAACCCGCCCGCGCCTGCGCAGTGCCCCGCCGCCCCGGGGGCTGGTATTAATAGGCTCTTAGATGCGCCCAGGGAAGACCCCAGCCAGCGGGTGCCCCTAGCCTCTGGCAGCCCCTCCCAGTTCTCCCTATGGTGCAGCGCCCCCACCCGAGAGGAAAGGCACATCTCCAAAAGGAGACCCTGGCTACTGTGTAGTCACGTAGCGGGGGAAACTGAGTCCCGAGCCGGGTGGGCGGGGACATGAGGCTCCAGGGGAAAGTGGAGGAGGGGGTGGAGTCCCGAGGCTCATACTAGCTTCTGCTCTAAGCCGCTGAGCGAGCTTGGAAAACGCTTTCCCTCTCTGGGCTTCAGCTTCAGTTTTCCCAGCTGGACGGAGGATGCGTGTCTTGGACCCCGCGGGTCCCCGAGGTCCGGCTTTGGGGAAGGACGCGGGTTTGGAGGGGATGGGGAATGAAACTTGGGGTGAAGCGTCCCGGCTAATGGTGTTGGGAACCTCTCTTCGCGTTATAATCCTACCCACAGAAAGAAAAACCGTATGTTGGGGGGTTATAATTAATAATAATAATAATAATAAAATAATAATCACAGATGCCTCGTATTTAGCACTCACCGGTACCAGCTCTTGTACTAACTCTTTAAAGATAAGATTTGTAATCCTTCAAACACCTTTGGAAGGTTTAGGGAGGAAAATCTTCATTTGCTAAAAGAAGCAAATGATACTTGGAGAGACTATGACTTGCCCAAGATGCCATCATGAGAAATTCAAAACCACAACTGTCAAACTCTAGGGCCCCTACTCTCTTCCTGGTTTCTGAGAGCTGCTAGGTTGAGTGAAACCAAAACTGGGTGTTGGGTCATTTAAATGACAGTGGTGACCATAGCGGCTTCCATTCATTGCAAGCTATAAGCCTTACAAACTCACCGCTGTCTGTTTGCAGCGTTCACCGCTGTAACCCAGGCTCAGAGGGGCAAAGCCGCTTACCTGGGGCCGCCCCATTAGGAAATGGGCTTCGAGAGTCTAATTCAGGTATATTGGACGCCACCAACTCTTAAGCACCCCTAGGAAGGGTCCTACCGGCTGCTTCACAAATCCTAGACATCCAGGCACTTCCCTCCCGGCGCAGAGCCTGGCCCAGCCCTGGGCACAGAGGGAGAAGCACTTTAAAAGGGTTGAATCCCACAGGCCCAGAGATGGGGAGAGCCTGGCTCAGGGTCACACAGCAGGTCTGAGGCAGAACAGGAGGGGGTGGCTCCTTATTCCCAGGAGAGTCCTGATTCTCTGCTCCAGGAATGGGGAGCAGGGAGGGAGATGTGGAAGGCTGGAGGGACATGGCGGGCAACAAGGGGAGGCTGAGGTTTCCAGACAAAAGCCCAGCCTCAAGCCAGCCCTCTGCCCCGCTCCCCCACACCCCTCTGTCTGCCAGCAGTCTGGAAGCAGCGACAGGGACCAGGAGATGACACAGCAACCACCAGCAGGCAGTGACTCGACCCCAGCATCAGACAGGGAGTGACCCCTCATCACCTTGTCCCGTCCAAGCCCCTCATCTTCTCTCCCACGGAATAAAGGAGACACACAGATGCTGCCCGGAGCCCTTCACACCCTACACGGGCAGCCACACACCCACAGCGCCACCGGCACACACTCACAGGGTCACACGTGGGCCTTCAGATGTCACTCGCAAGCAGCAACACACATGGCCACACGCAGAAACAGCTTCACACGCACACCCCGGCACCGAGAAACACACTGCCTGGTGGTCACCAATGCACACAATACACACACCTTCGGTACAGACGCACCTAGATGTCGTCACGGCACCATAACAAGAGCTCACGTTCCACCAGCATTCACAGTAACTGGTTTAATTCTCACAATGCTCCTAGGAAGTAGGAACTTTCATTTTACAGCCGAGGAAATGGCAGCCCAGAGAGGTGAAGTCACTTGCCTAGAGCCACACAGCAAGTTAGTGGTGGAGCTGGGATCAGAATAAAGAGTGCCCGGGACAGGAGGACAGGAATAGCGCCCCACTCGTGGGCCTGGTGGAAGGATTATGTGACTGTAAGTAAACCTCCTGCAACATGCCTGCCACATCGTGGGGGCTCATTTCATTATTAAAATAAAGCTCCCAGGCTTTTGCAGACGTAGACCCTCCTGGGGACATTACCGGAAGCAGAGACACATTTTCATGGGCCCTTAAAATTGTCACGGGCCCTAGCACCATGCCCTCTGTGCCTAAGGGAAAAGTTGACCCTGGAGACACACACACACCGACACACAGAGACACACACAGAGTCTCATGCAAACACACACACAGACATGCACACCTGCTCACAGAGCGTGGAGGGCAGAGCAAGGCTTTCTCCATGGAGTTCAACCCCGGCGAGCTTCCAGGAGGAGGAGGACTAGAGAGTGGGCGAGAGAGCAGGACTCCTGCTCTGGCTCCCCAGGGGTTGGCTCTGCATGGGGAGGGGGGTGGGGGGGGTCCTCAGCCTTCTTCCCCCACAGGCGGGGGGGTGGCAGTGCCAGCTCTGCTTGCTCGGAGCATCCTGTAAACAGCCCCAGGGCCCACTCCACCAAGGGCAGCCGTCAGCACGTCCTTCCATGCTTCCTTTGGCAAAAGCCCTCTCTACTAGGTTCCTCAGTTTCCCCACCATAGAGCAGGAAGATGACCGTGGGCTCTGAAATTTAGTAATAAGAAGAGGAGGAAAAGGAGGAGGAAGAAAGCAAACGCTTAGCGAGCTGTGCTCGGTGCCTTCACGCCATCCTCTCAGTTAGTCCTCACACCGCGCCAGCCCCATCAGTAGCTTCTGTTAATACCCCACTGCACAGAGCAGGAAATTGAGGCACAGGGAAGTTCAGGCTGAACTCGGTGCTTCTGGCTGTTCACGTGATCATGACTCACTGGGGCATCTGGTGACAGTGAAGTTCTGAGGTGGTTTTTTGTGTTTCCAGCAAGCCCCGGGGTGATGCCAAGGCGAGTGTTTCTGAGGCATGAGAAGAGGAGGGGTGTGCATGTGTGTGGGGAGGTGTCCTGCTGTCATCACCGTGACCTCTGTGAGGGTAGAGCCAGGCTGGTTAGGAACTGCGGGCTCCTCAGTGCCCAGCAATGAACAGTGAGTATTGCTGGCTGGCTAGGCCAGCTCCCCACTGAGCAATCCTGGAGGCGTCCTGGACTGGGTGTCTGGAGTTTCAGGGAAGCAAAGTGGTCTAGAATGGGATCTCTTAGCTTGACCCTCTGAGGATCCCTTCATTCTGCATTCAGACTCCTCACTCACCATGGCCCACGAGGCCCAGTGTGACCCGGCTGGCACTGACCACCCCAGTCTCCCCTCTCCCTGTTTCCCGTCAGGTTCAGATGCCACGGTCTCTCTGCCTTGTCTTCAAGGCTTCGCATATGCTCTTCCCTCTGCAGGGAGCACTCTTCCTTTTGCTCCCTCTAGCTCACACTCTCTTCTTCCCGGTCTCAGCTCCTATATCCCCTCCTCCAGGAAGCCCTCCAAAGGGTCAGTACCCTTCCTTTGGGAGCCCCCCACCCCAGCTCTGCCTCTCCCAGTTCATCACCCTCTGGGGAAGGGTCTGTCTCCCCCCAACCTGCGCCGAGCTGGATTATCATTGAGGCCCAGGCTGAGGCCGTCCTGGTCCCTGCAAGGCCCCGGCACAGTGCTGGGCACTCAATCAATATTTGTTCACTCAATCATCTTCACCATGTGCTCGTTTATTCATTCGTGAACTCTGACAGACGGTCTCAGCCAGAAACCTATGTGGGCCTCTCTGTGGCTTTGCCATCGCGTGGATGGAAGGGAGAAGATGTTACACACCAGCTGACAGGCAGGAAGGCTGCACACGGGTGTCGGGGCCTGGGTCCAGGTGTTGATGAACAGTCGGTCTGCCTGTCCTTCCTTCCTGTCCTCAAGGATGACCTGCGCTGAGCCGGCGACCCCGGGTCTTCTCGGGGTGGGATGCGGTGGACGCATTTGTCAGGGTGGGAAGAAGGAAGTTTGCTTTACAGATTCCAAACCATGGAGACAGAAAGACACACATGGAGACGAACACAGATGTGCACGCACACCTTTCACCTTTGCACAGACACACAAATAACTAAGCGAACACACACTCACACCCACAGAGCTGAATGCGCGCTGTTGTGCATACGCATTGCAGGGGTGTGCACACACCAAACCACACATACCGACAGGCACCCTCCGTGTCTGTCTGCACAGACACACCACTGCGCACACAGAAGCTGGCAGAGCCAGGCCCCCCGCTGCCACAGGGAGACCCCCAGAGCTGTGGACGCGCGGCATTTCTTAGATACCTACGTTCGTGTTGCACAAACCTCTACAGAACCAGGCACACGGATCCACAGCATCACACACCCAGCTCCCATTCCTGTGTCAGCTGTCTCCCACGCACGCCCACAACTACACACACAGCTTCACCTGGGAAGGCACGCAGACCCAGCTAAGCCACTCTCCGATGCTGGTTTGTCTCAGGCCCTGGGCCAGGGGTGCTGTGGACCCCCTCACTGTGGGGGCCAGCCTCTCACTCCCCCCCAAACCACACCCATGCAGTGTGACGGTGTGTCACTGGCTATCTCCACTCCAGATATTGGGTGGCAGGAGTGCTCGGTGAGGGTGGAGCAAGCCTGGGGGACTTCCTGGTGGAGGCAGGGTCTGGACAACTATTGTCAAATCCTGAAAAGATTTAGATAAGGAGGGATTCCCCGAAAGCACTCTCTCTCTCCTGTTGACGTGCGAGACCAAGGAAGAGGAAGCAGGAGAGACTGTGGGAAGCTAACAAGA